TCCTCCTGTCCCCACCAAGCCTCTCCCTTGCAGTCCCCATGTCCCTACACTTGAATTCCTTTCCCCTCCCCTGCATCCCACACAGGGCCCTTTCAACACCCCAATCCCAGTCCCCTGGGCTCCCCAGTTCCCCCCAGTTCAGCATCTTTGGGTCCCCCCAACCTCCCCCCACCCTCCCTGCAGGCCCTGAATTCCCCTGGCTCTCCTTGTCTCCATCCCCACCCTGGGCCCTGCAGGCACAGGGGTTGGAGGTGAAACTGGGTGGAGTGGGAGCGGGGGGAGCAGAAGGGATTTTCCCCCTCAGACGGGGGCAGCCCTGGGCTGGGGGGTCTGGGGACACCCGTGTCCCTCCCCCAGCCCTACAGGGGCCAATCCTGAGCAACCCTTTGCTCTCCTTGCCCAGGCACTCTTGGCAGGAACCCAAAATGATCTGCGGGAGGTGAGTGGGCCGGGGGGACTGGAGGGCATCCAGTCTGGGAACTGGGGGACACTTTGGTCCCCCCATCCCTCGCTGGCACCGGGGGCATCCCAGTGACCAGCCAGGGCTCCTGGTCTCTCTCCAGCTGCATTTAGTGGACATTGGGATCCTGAAGACGGCTCAGGTGGGTACCAGGAGTTCTGCCTGAGTCAGGTCCTCCCCTCACAAGGCCATGACACTCCCGGCCATCCCAGTCTGCCCCAGTATACCCCAGTGCACCTTCCCCAAGGATCCCATTTCTTCCGCCAGGCTCCCAATACATCCCACTGCACCCAGTGTGTCTCTGAGCCTGTCTTCCTCCCCACTCCCCTGTGGTGGAGAAGGTGGTGGGTCCTGTTGGTGAGATGTGGCTGCATCCCTGGATGTCTGAGGTGAGCAGTGCCTGCAGGGAGAGGGGTCAGGACAAGGCCCCTCTTGTGTTGCAGTGGACTTTGGGGGTGACATTTTGGGGCTCTGTCTTTCAGGACCCATGCCCTGTCCCTCTCCAGCACCATGAGGAGATGATCATCCCTGGAGGACCCGCTGATTTCCCTCAGAGCCCAGGGGCATTTCCCCTGAATGATCAATAAATCCCTTCAGCAAAGCCACTCTGCTTGATCATGTGTGTGTGTTCCCATCTCCATGGGTGTGTTCCCATCTCCACGTGTGTGTTCCCATCTCCATGGGTGTGTTCCCATCTCCAAGTGTGTGTTCCCATCTCCATATGTGTGTTCCCATCTCCACGTGTGTGTTCCCATCTCCGTACCTGCATTCCCATGTCCCTGTCCCCTCCCTTCTCCAACCCCTGCACACCTGGTGCCTCTCTGGCCGCACCCCCGCCATGAGCAGAGAGGCTCAGGGGGCTCCTGGGGGTCTCTGCACACGAGATCCCCTTCACCCCCTCCATGTGCAAATTGAGCAGTGCAGGTTGGGGCATCCTGGAATGTCCCTGCTGGGACCTGGGACAGGCAAGGGGCACACGGGGCAGCCCCTGGAGCACCTGGACCTCCCCTGTGCTCTGGGAGGGATGGGAAAGGGTTCTGTTTGAAGCCCTTCCCACAGTTGGTGCAGTGGAAGGGCCTCTCCCCCGTGTGCATCCGCTGGTGCTGGAGAAGATGTGAGCTGCTCCAAAACCTCTTCCCACACTCCTCACACTTGCAGGACTTCTCCCCCATCTCCACCCACCCTGGTGGGTGACGAGTTGAGAACTGTATGTGAAGCTTTTCTTGCATTCCCCAGATTTCTAGGGCCAGGGCCCCAGTTCCCCGGACACCTGCACCACCCTGCTCTATCCCTGAAGGGCAGCAGCTTGCTCAGCTAATCCCTTTTTACAGCACCTCACCCCCTGGGAAGGGAAAGAGAGGCTCCGGGCCTTTTGGGAGCACAGGCGAGCCACAAATATTTTAGGCAAAGACTATTTCTGCTTCTCAGCCTGTGCTGACTTGTCACAGATGGCGCAGGTTTAAAGGCTTGGTAGACACGGGTGCTGACAGTTCTATTGTAAAAGACACAGAATGCCCTTCTGATTGACCCACAATCTTCCCCACTTCGACCACTTCGGGGGTAGGAGGTATGCAGAGGCCTAGACAAAGTGCACATCTGTGCACGGTACTGGGGCCAGAGGGACAGACGGCCAGAATTGCTCCTTTCAGAGCTCCTATTCCGTGTACCCTGGGGGGGAGGGATGTCTCGGGTCCGTTCGGTGCCACTGTGCAGATTATGACAAAGAACACTCAGGTTTCTCAGTGAGGGTCACTGATCAGCCGTTCCATGGACTCACCAAATTAAATGGAAAACAGACGACCCCATCTGGGTCGATCGATGGCCCCTAAAGAGGGAACAGCCAGTTCACCTGCGAGACCTGGTGCAGGAACAGCTGGATGCTGGGTGTACAGGACCAACTTCTAGCCTGTGGAACACCCCTGTGTTCTGCATCCCTAAGAAGAGTGGCAAGTGGAGCATGTTCCATGATCTCAGGGTGGTTAATACAGTCACTGAGCCAATGGGAGCGTTGCAACCAGGACTCCCCTCACCTGCCACGCTTCCTGCAGGGCGGCCACTGACAGGAATTGACCTGAAGGACTGTTCTTTTACTCTCTTTCTACACCCAGATGATGCTCCTCCCTTCACCTTCTCAATTCCGGCCTTCAATCCTGCAGAGCCCGTGCAGAGGTACCACTGGGTTGTTTTGCCTCAAGGAGAGTGTAACAGTCTGACTGTTTGCCAGACAGCGGTAGCTGATGCCATACACCCTGTCCGGGAGCTCTACCCTTCAGCCCACATTTACCACTACATGGAGACACTTTGGTGGCTGCTGCCCAAGAGACTGAATTCCAATCTATTTTGACTGCCTTAACTAATGCTGTTCGAGGAGCAGGGTTGCAGGTCGCTCCAGGAAAGATCCAACCAACTCAACCCTGGGCCCACCTCGGATGGAAGATCACGCAGCAGGAGATCATACCACAGCCACGGACTCTTAAGGTGACAGACACTTGGACACTAAATGATTTACAGTGACTATTAGGAGCCATTAACTGGCTTCAGCCTATTCTGGGCATCCAATGGAGGAACTGCACCCCCTTTTTGAATTCCTCAAAGGTGACCCGACTTTAACCTCAGTCCCTAACCACAACAGCAAAACAGGCTCTAAAAATATGCTCTCAGGCTATTGAAAACAGGCAAGGTGGATGATGACACCCCGATCTACACATTCACCTTGCCCTTATTTCCAGCAAGTTTCAACCCTTTGCCATCCTTTTCCAGTGGGATCAGATGGAGTCTGGCCCCCTGAGGATCCTGGAATGGTTGTTTCTGCCCCACTCTCCACCTAAGACTCTCTGGACTATTAATGCCATGTGTGCTAAGCTTGTTGTTAAAGGGAGAGGACGTCTGCAGGAGATGGATGGACGAGACCCCGAGACCATCTACATTCCAGCAACCAAAGACAACTTGGACTGGCTTCTCGCAGAGGACGCTGGATTTCAGGCTGCCTTGGCAGACTACAGTGGTGACCTTTCCATTCACTTCCCAAAGCACAGACTCTGGGCACAAACGGGGAATCTACCTCTGCTGGCCACGCGTCGCTGCAGACCACAACCCGTATCAGGCATCACTGACGTGTCTGGACGGTCAAAAAAGGCCGCAGTGACACGGATAAATCCTGTCACAGGACACTGGGACAATCAAGTGCAGACCATAGACCAAGGCTCTGTACAGGTTTTAGAGCTTGCTGCTATCTGCATGGCCTTTGAGTTGTTTAGTGAGCAGCCACTGAATATCATGACTGACTCGTGTTATGCTGCGGGGTTGGTTTCACGTCTCGAAGCCTCTTTCCCTCGAGATGTCACTAATCCTTATTTGTTCGCAGAGATATGTACTATATGGTCCCCTGTCAACCACAGAAAATTTGACTCTTACATAATGCATGCCCGTTCCCACACAGAACTGCCAGGACCCAGAGCGGAGGGCAATCAAAGAGCAGATGCTGCCGCTGTGGTTGCTGCAGTTCCCAAAACTCTCGAGCAGGCCAAACTCTCCCACCTATCCTTTCAGCAAAATGCACGCTCGTAAAGAGGCAGTTCCAACTCACAGGGAATCAAGCTCGAGGTATCAGCATGTCATGTCCTGACTGGCACAAATTGCCCCAGTGCCATCTAAGGAAGGGGTTGATCCCCGAGGCACAACAGCCAATGGAATTTGGCAAACGGACGTTACTCCTGTAGCTGAACTGGGTCGGCTAAAGTATGTCCATGTCACAGCAGACACACATTCTAAACACATAAATGCCACTGCACACCCTGGGGAAAAGGCAAGGGATGTGATCAGACACTGGCTTAGTTGCTTTGCAACTTTGGGAATTCCAAAACCCATAAAGACAGACAATGCTCCTGCCTATTGTTCTTCAAAGGTCACAACATTTCTCACGGGTTGGGGATATTTCATTCCACAGGCAGACCACACTCACCACGGGACAAGCTGTGGTGGAGAGAGCACACTGCACATTGAGGGGAATGCTGCAAAAACAAAAAAGGGGGGAATCTATCTACAGTCCCAGGAACACCTGTGGAAAGCGTCCTATGTCCTAAATTTCTTAAACTGTCATGACACAGATCCCAGCAGGTAACGAGTGTCAACACGAATCTCAGGTACTTTCCTCTCCCAAACCACCAGTCATGATCAATATTTAATATCAGGGCAATGGTCAGGACCAGTGGACCTCGTAACGTGGGGGAGGGGATATGCCTGTGTATCCACAGGTACTAAACTACAATGGATTCCTTCCAGATGTGTCAGGCCTTATATCAGCCCTTCTTCAGAGCAAGAGCAATCAACAGAAGGGACAAATGAAGAAACTGGAATCGAAGAAACACATAACTAATGACCACTACCAGACCCAAACTACATCATTGAAATACAGAGACATAATAAAAGGCTTCAGTGTGCATGTGTGAGGAGAGACTGAGAAGTGGCCACCTACGTACGAATGAGAAAAGTTGTGTGGACGTACGTATGAGAGTGAATTCAAAACCACTTCATGCCAGAGATGCCATAAATAAAATACACTCTTACAACACTACCTCAACCCCAGCAAATACAATTGAACACAACATCCATAACCTGACACACTTCCCCTTGACATAAAATTGATGCTTCTCACCCAGTTACACAAATACCCTCAGAGAAAAAGTCTTACACAAACCATATTTACAAACCCTGAATAATTGAAAGTGACACAGTTAATAAGGTTATGACCAGTTTTAATAAAGGCCTTACCACATTAGGCCCTGGTTTTTATAAATGCTTAAGACAAGTTGGTTTATGTTAAGAAATGTTTACGAAAAAGGTTTAAAAATTGTTCTGTAACTCGTTCTAATTATAATAAAGTGGAAATGTAGTGATTTATATTACAGGACGTGCCACAAGGCACTCTGGGACTTGTAGTTCCTTCTGTACTCTGCTGCACACGCACAAGGGAGGGCTCGAATGTCACTGGTTGAGAGGTCACGTTCTGACGTGTCACAGTTTGGACTGTCTACATCAGCTCATGTTGTTCTTAATAAATTTGATTCAGCCACATGCCTTGTGTGTAACTGGGTCCGTGCCCACACAAATAACACATGGGACTATCCTGCCACACTCCACCAGCCAGGGGGCTTCCCAAGGTGGGTCACTGGGAATGTGGGTCACCTGTTCCCAGTGTGGGTCACTGGGAATGTGGGTCACCTGTTCCCAGTGTGGGTCACTGGGAATGTGGGTCACCTGTTCCCA